AAAAAAAAAAAAAAAAATTGTAGCTAAGTAATGGATTGTGGATAAATACCATGGTTAAGTATAGATAATTCAAAGAAAATGAATACAATTCAGTGGATTTTGTGTCAATGTCATGGCCATAGTTGCATTTTTTTAAATGACTATGCATAGTTTTGGTAATTAGATGTCTAGTGAGTTATTTTTTGCCCCCTTCCCCTTTTAACTTAACATGTTTGAGTCTTGCTGGTATCAGCACAGGTTCTAGGTCTATAATCTTATTTTTATTTTTCTAATCTGTCTGGTCTAAGTACTCTTGAGAAAAGCCAGGAGGGTGGTGTTTGTTTCTTTCCAGAGACCCTTTCAGCAGTCATCATTTCTGTCTGGATGGTTCAGGCCCTGAATGAGGACACTAGAAAGATTCACACAGCTTTCCGCTGGGGCTTCTGTGGAGGGGTCTGGGAAGGTGGAGATAGCTCAGGGACAGAGAAGATATCCCCCAAGGGTTGTGGCAGGCTCCCCAACATCCTTGTAGGTGCAAGTTCCTAGGCTCTTTTGCTTGCAGGACAAAAAAGAACTCTGTCCCCTAGATTTTTGTCATTACAGTTGCAGGCCTTGTTCTGTTTTTGTTTGTGTATGAGAATATAGTAGTATTTTGTGCCTTGGGTGTTTCTAATTTACCAGAAGGGTAGTATGTTGTATATCTTTTGCTGTTTTTAACTTTTTGCCTCATCAGTATGACAGAGAGAATCTGTATGTATGTAATTTTCTGGGCTCTGCAAGAATTTTTGCCAGTTATGTACATAGGGATGGGATTGCTCGGTAAAACAGTGCAGCCTTAATTTCACGATGTCAGCTAGATTGCTTTCCTGACTGGCTGCACCTGCTTGTACTCACCCAATGGTGTGAGGGTTCTCATTTCCCTTGTCTTCAGCACTTAGTCATGCTTAGAGCTTTTTCTCTCCTTTTCTACCTTCCATTAGAAAGAACAAATTTTCTGCTGGCCACCACTAACTTACTAAAACCCATACTTCTATTTATCTTTCCCTGTTAATTTCTTAGATTTATTAATATCTATAATCTCATCTATCCCCAAAATATCAAATACCTCAACACCTATTTACTTCACTATGGTCTTTCCCTGGGTGGGAACACAGACCTGCTGAATCAGAAACCCAGGGAGTGAAGCTGAGCAGTTCGTGTTTTGGCAAGCCCTCCAGGTGTTTCTGACGCTAGCTGAAGTTTGAGAAACTGCCCTAGCTCAGACACATACCACCACCACCACTGCCACCGCCACCACCGCCGCCACCGCCACCGCCCTCGCCCTCACCCTACCCGTACCCCTACCTCTACCTCTACCTACCGGGGATTTTTGGTAATGTCTGAAGATACTTTTGTTTGTCACAAATGTGTGTGGGGGGTGGGAGGGTGGGGGGGCGAGACTACTAGAACCTATCTAATGGAGGCCAGGGATGCTGTTAAACATCTTATGTCAACAGAGCCAAATGGGAGAAATACTGCTGTAGAGTTTTGGCTCTAGATTGTTATGGGCGTGGTTCAAAATTTTTCTTTGGTTTGCTTCACCATTGCTTGTTAAGACAACAGTAAATTTACTGTGTCATTTATTCATGATTACTTCTTTATTGCCAGTCAGGCTTTTGTCTCCAGCATTCCGCTGAAACTAATCCATCATTCTTTTCTTCTTGAAGCATTTTCTTAAGTTGGCTTCAGGAACCCTGCTGTCTTGGTTTTCCTCATACTTTTCTGGTGACTTCTCCTTTGTTTACTGGCTCTTCTTTCTCTCTCTGACATGATAGTAAAACCCTTAGGGCTCAGTTCTCAACTCTCAGATGAGTTTAGAGTTAACATAACCCCTTGGACTTACTGTTTTTCTCTAATAAAATCAGTTTTGGTTTTGTTTGTGTTTTGAATGATAATGATAATAAAAATTACTGTATTTGGTATAAAATTTTCTCAGAGAAGATTTGCATTTAGTATTCAGCTTTGCCGTGCTTAATTTCTTCATTTTCAGAGAAAGTATACAATTTATAAGTATACACTGTATAAATTATAAGCCATATTATCACATAATTAAAGGAATTTATGCCTATTTTAAAGATTGAAAAAGGTGATTTGTGGTTTCACAAAAATAGGGTAATTACTCGAGCTACTTTTATTTCTTTCATATTTGAAATTTTTGTATTTTTTTCCAGGTTTGTCAAGGGCTATTTAATGAATTGCTAGAAAATGGAATTTCCGTGTGGCCTGGTTATTTGGAAACTGCGCAGCCCTCATTGGAACAGCTGTATTCAAAGTAAGAATTGTCTTCCTTTTTGCTAAAATATGTTTATTCAGAGTTTTTGGTTATACGATATTTCTTTACTTTGCAAGTAACAGAAATAAATCTCTTCTAAGTATACCTATATATAACATAATTCAAAAGTATTCTCATCTACAGAAACGTGCCCTTAGTTAATTGCCACAGCAGGGAACAATATTCACCAAGTATATCTGAGCACATATACTATGTGCAACTTCAAGACTTTATGTCATAAGTACGTATACCCAAGTTTATCAGTTTATGAGGGATGGAATTATGTATATTGGATGCATTTGTTGAGTCAGGACTGTGGGAACATGGGTGGAGTGCCTTTTCTTGCTGTTGTTGTGGTTCCTTCTGAGGCTGAGTGGAAAATGACTCCATCCCTGAGGACAGAACTAGTTCCCTCAGTGACCGGCACCTCTGTTCACCTGCTCCCACAAGACTGAGACCTGGATATATCGTCCTTAGCGCCTCGCTCTTCCTTATTCTCCACATCCAGTCCATCACTAAATGTTGTCAGCCTGCCTCTTAAATAGATTTCAGATCCATATCTCCCCATCTTCACCGCTGCTACCCAAGTTAAGGTCACCAATATCTTGGCTGGATTATTATTTTTATTTTTATTTTTTTTTGCAATGGAAAACAATTTTTTTTTTAAATTCTAAAAATTGACATTTAAAATACGATGTCTGCTTAAATGTCTGATTTTTATTTTTTTTGGCTGGATTATTGAAATAATCTCCTAATTCATCTCCCTGTCTCTTTTACCTTTTTCTATTTCATTAACTTCTGGTTTTGTTTTTGTTTTTTTGATAAAGGAATTCACTCTTTCTTCCTGGGTTCATTTTGTTGTTGTTTTTTTAGCCTTTTGTGTTGAATACTTATCTTTTGGGTGAAAAGTTGTGAAGCTTTGTGTTTTGCTCCTCAGTTCTCTGATAACTTTTTAAAATGCACCTTTCAGATGATGTCAGAAGAAAAGTGGGTTTCTATGGATAAAGCAACTTGTTTTATCATATATAAAATGAAGGGGTGGTACTTGAACTTCCTAGTTCTCTCAGGTTCTAAAATCTTCTTTGAGTCATGTGGACATTATCAAGTTATAAATGTTCTTTATGTGGTAATGGCTTTATTGTTTCAGGATATTTTTATCCAAATATTTAGTAAGCACCTATTATGCTTTATGTACTTTGATACAGCAGTAAATAAGGCAGAAAAATTCCCTGTTCTTATGAAGTTTATATTTTAGTGGGGTAAAATAGGCAATAAACAAGTAAATAAATAAGATAATTTCTCATGGAGTCCTACAAAGAAAAGAAACATTAGTGAAATGGTGTGACAAGATAAGCAGAAAGAAGGCCAGTGTGGATGTATTTAGATATTGCTGAATTAGAAACTTAAGTTAGCATACAAAGTTATATATTAAGCATGACTTGGGCATGATTTGTTGTACACTGGATTTTTATTATAGTAGCATTATAAGAGACTTGAATCTAAAATAATTTTTCTTGAACTGTATCGAAGTACCAAAAGACTGAGGTTATTCTGAGGTTTGTCCATAATATCACCCCAAATATTATGCTGAGAAACCAGTGTTTATTTCTCAGATTTTGTTTTCTCTTATGACTTTTCAGCTATTATAATACAGTAAGTCAGAAACTTTCTGAAAATTTTACTTTGAATGTGATTTAGAATCTTGAAAAAGGTGTTTTTTTGGTATAGCTCTCAAGCCCCGCCTTTGAGTTTTGTGACTCTTGAAAATGGCATGAACTCTACAGTAATTAAAGCTGGTAATGTGGTGAATTTGCAGTTTATATTTGTGTACATGTATTTTGTTTAACTACTTTTTTTTCTTAGATATGATGAAATGAGTATCCTCTTCACAGTTATGATTACTGAAGCTACTTTGGAGAATGGATTAATACATCTGAGAAGTAGAGACACCACAATGAAGGAAGTGATGCACATATCCAAAGTGAAAGACTTTCTAACCAAATATATATCATCAGCTAAGAATTTATAGATTTTAATATTGGTGTAATAAATACTCGCCTTTCCTAATTTGGTTGTCTTCTATCAACCTAGATTTTTTTTTAGCCCCTTTGCACTTATGAAGTGGATATTTTTGGTGCTTTTTTTTATTCAGTTTTTATTTATATTTCTTGATGTATTCCATTGTATAAGGAATATGTTCAACTACAAGAAACAAAAATCCTACCATACTAGATTAAGCGAATTGGAGTTTATTTTTCTCATAACAAGAAATGTAGGGGGGGGCCGACTGAGTGGCGCGTTGGTTAAGAGTTGACTTGGGACACCAGCTCTGAGCAGCAGGGCCCGGGTTCGGATCCCACATTAGGGCCAGTGACGCTGCGCCCTCTACAGCTAAGATGGTGAACAATAGCTCCATCTGGAGCTGGGCTGCTGTGAGTCACCAGTGACGGTGTAGGCTGCAGTGGGGCTGGCAGGCAGCGGGCGTGTGCTTTCGTGAGCTTCTTTGAGCCTCTGTGAGCGGCCGTCCAATGGCCGCGCGCGACTGCCTCACCTGGGAAGAGCGCAATGATGGTGCCAACTTGGGCCAGTGAAGCGACGTCCTCCACAACTAGACTGAAGAACGAAAGGACAGCAACTTGGCTGTTCCCCTTCCCCAATTCCCCAGCGCTGTTCCCCTCCCCCAATTCCCCAATAAAATCTTAAAAACAACAAAAAAAATTGAAATCTAGGGGGTAGCCTGTCCAGAGCTGGTAGAATTGTTTCCTCTGTAGTTAGGGACTCAGGCTTTTGCTATCTTTCTGTTCCACCATCTTTAGTATGTTGGCTTTTATCTTTTATACTTGTTGCTTCATGGTCACAAGGTTGGCTGTTGTGTTTCTAGCCTTCTTGTCCATATTCTAGTTAGGAAGTCAAAGTGAAAAGAGCCAGTCAGCCAAGACTCTTCCCTGTTTAACTAGGAAAGTAAAAGCTTTCCCAGACACCCCCAATCAGAAAACTTCTGTACATTTCACTGGTAAGAACTTGGTCACATGGTCATTCCTAGGCCAATCACTATACAGGGGAATGAGAATCTAATGATTAATTTGGATCAAACACAATTTATCCCTTACAGCTATAGTAGTGTCTTATTCTCTCTGAAGTGGGTTTTGTTATCAGGAAAGAAGGAATCTTCATGGAGTCTGCTACATGTATATTGTCAAATACTTAAGATTATCCTAAAACAACTAAATTAGAACATTTATTGATTTTTGAAAAGCTAACAAAAATAAATGTTAGATGGCATAATCTTAACTGTTACAGTGTATTTCATGTCTGATTCTAATAGATATGTTTATAAGAAATCCTTGAACTTTTATGTGATTATGTCTGTGTTAATTTTACTATTATTACCAACCTGACAAAAATTCCAACTAGTAATTGGTGTAAAATATCTGGAAAGTTTGGCTAGCTTATCTTGTTTTTATTTTTATTTTTTATTGTAAGTTTCAATGGCTAACTTATTTGACTTGGTAGATTTTTATTTTTTGGTTATTATTTTTTGCTGTCATGGAGAATTGCATACACAAACATACAGAATAGTATAAATTAACTCCATGTACCAACAACCATCAACCCACGACCAGTCTTGTCTCATCTCCCCAATACCACCCTTCCATATTATTTTGAAGTAGAGTGCAGCTATCATTTCATTTGTAAATATTTTAGTTAAGGATCTTTTGTTAACCATTATCACAACTAAAAAAAATTAACACTAGATGATACTAAGGAATTATGGACAATTTCCTTGGGTTTGATAATGATATTATAGCTTTATTTTTCTTTTTAAAAAGTCCTTACCTAATAGAGACACTTAAATATTTTTGAGTGACATTATATGATACCTGAGACTTGCTTTAAAAATCCCCAGTTTAAACCAAAAAAAGTGGTGGATTCTACATGAAAAATAAGAATAGCACCGAGTTGTTGAAGCTGAGTGATGGGTACATGGGTGTTCTCTGTACTGCCTCTCTATTTTTGTGCATGAGAGTTTTCATAGTAAGTATTAAAAAACCAATTATTTAATATCAGATATCCACGCAGTTTCCAATTTGTATTGTTCGTTTGAATCAGAATCGAAATAAGACTCATTTGTTGGTATTGGTTTTTAGGTTTTGGCCCCTTTTATCCTATAGATTCAATCTCTCTCATAAGAAATTGGGTTATTATGGGGTTTTCCACTCTTTGGATTTTATTTATTACATCCCCGTGGTATAGTTTAACCTGTTTCTCTCTCTATAGTTCCTGTAGATTGAAAGTTGAATCCAGAAGCTTGATCAGCTTTTAAGTTCAATTTTGGGGGGCAAGATTTTTCCATAGGTTGTTGTTTTTCTTTGGGGGATATTAGCAGTCATTGATCAGTGCCTAGATCAGTCAGTTTATTAGCGGTGGCAAAATAATGATAATCTGATTCTATCTTCCTTTATTCATTGGCTAGAATACTTCTATAGAAAAAAACATCTCACCTACTGTTTGCTTAGAGTTATGAGAAAGGTTTGGGATAAATGCTAGATTCGTCCCCTTTAAAGTTAATCTTTTTGATGCTCAAATTGTTCTACCTTTGGCCAGTAGGAGCCTTTTCAAGTTGGTCTTGAGTCTTTTTGACCCAACTTTAGTAGTCTTTGATAGCTTGGTATCTATTATAATATCTAATACAGAGATTATATATTTCAGAGTTTTGCCAAGGAGACCATATTCTGGGTAGTAGGGATGCTCATTGTTCAGAAGGTGGTTTTTGTTTCCAGGCCTTTTCAGTGTTCAAAGCTAGCAAATATATAGGTGTGTGTGTGTGTGTGTGTGTGTGTGTGTGTGTGTGTGTGTGTGCGCGCGCACACACATTTGTATTTCTCCCCAAATTAAAAAATTCATCGTGAATTTACATTAATATTTTCAATTCATATTGAGGATTATTCTGTGTGTGTGTGTGTGTGTGTGTGTGTGAAGCAACTTTATTACAATATAATTTACATACAATAAATTGACCTATTTTGACCTGTACAAAAAGAGGTTTTGAGAAATGTGTAACCACCACCACAATTACAATATAGAACATTCTGTCCCCCAAAAAAGTCCCTCCATGCCCCTTTCGGACTATAGGGTTTTTACTTAGCCTCTTCTGTCATACATCTATCTGTATCTCCTCCCATGCCTAGAATCCCAATTCTCAGGAATCCTGAGGGTGATAGAATTAGAGCACCATGCCACACATGCTCATTTGCTCTATCTCACCTGAATCACGGCAGTCTCAGAATTGCAAGGCCAATATCACCACTGTATGCCTACTGAAAATTTTAAATCTCATTTTTGCAGTTTGGGGTTCAATACTTAGTTTTAATATAACTGTGAGACCCTAAAATGTTTATTTATTTATTTTTGGCTTAAACAACAGAAACTTATTGTCCCAGTTCTAGAGGCTAGAAGTCCCAAATCAAGGTGTCAGCAGCGATGCTTCCTTCTGAGGGCTGTTGTAGACCTCTCTCCTAGCGTTCCTCGTCTTGTAGATGACTACCTCCCTGTCTAAAAAGTTGAATTTTGAAACGTAATTTTTCTGAAGAAAATCTCAGTCCTGCCTACAGGTACCTTTATTCAGGTACCACTTCTTCCTGTGAGGAAGCACGGGAGACATTCCTCTCAGATTTAAATACCAGGGATAGTTGTGCTTCTTGTGAAGACTGGGCTTGTTACTATGTGTTATATATTTATTTGTTCATTTACACGGGCTTTTTGAGCACCTAAGTCCCAGTCGGTGCTGGGGATGTGGCGGAGAACAACACAGACAAGGCCCTTGTCGGGGTCGGCGGGGGGACAGACAATAGCAGGTAGGCACACAGGCAGTTGGAGGTGATTTCAGAATGGTAGTGTTGTCAAGGAAGTAGCGCAGGATGATGTGCTAGATCGTGGCTGGCATAGTGCACTTTCAAATTAATTTCGTTGTGAAGAATGAAGTAGGGGGCCCAACTTGCTTTTTAAATGTGGTTCTCAAGTTTTTACAATATATTAAATAATCCATCTTATCCCCACTGATTTAAAATGCCATATTTTTCAAATACTAAATCCCCAAATGTGTTTAGATCTTCATCTGGACTTTCTGTCCTGTTTCATAGCTCTACTTGTCCATCCATTTACTAATACCACACTTTTTCTGGCCGGCCAAGTGGCTTAGTTGGTTAAGAGCTCACTCAAGAGTGCGAGCTCTGAGCAACAGGGTCTCTGGTTCGATTCCCGGCCCGAGCTGAGCTGCCAACAGGTGGCAGGATGGCTCAGCTAAAAAACAAACAAAAAAAAACAAACTAATACCACACTTTCAAAATCATGGTCACTTTATAATGTTTCCAAACCTCTCATATATGTCTACTTGTATATGCTTCTTGAATCCTACGACCCTTTCTCTGTATTTGGTTTCCTTTTTCATCAAGTATTATCGTGTAGTTCTTCCAGTAAGAATTTGTGATTGGAAAACCTCCTTCTCGATCTTTAAGTGTCTTTATTTCACCCATAGTCTTGATTGATATTTTGGCTAGTGTGGTAGATATTTTGAATGGCTCTCATAAACCATATCCTAACTCTCCTATGTGGTGGGTCAGAAACCTATCAAAATTACAATTCCCTTACTGCTAGGGTATGGCTGTGAATATCATCTACCAATTTAGATGCACATGCATGGGCTCTGGACAGTGGAAGGGAGGGAGGTGGTGGTTTTCGCTGAGAAGCAAATGTCTGCAGTGGCAAAGCTCCATGTTCCCCTGTCTGGGCTCCAGCTTCCGGGAGTGAGGAAGTTGTGACATAGGCAGCAACTGTAACAGTAGCAGCAGTAGTTCTCTGGTCTCCAGATTGTAAGAAAATCTACAGATAAATTATTAAAATTGAAAAGAGACTTTAGCAAGGTCGCTGGATACAAAGTCAACCAAGAAAAACAATTGTGTTTATCAATAACATGAAATAAAAATACAGTTTACCTTAGTGTCAAAATATCAGGTACCTAAGGATATATCTAACAAAAGATGTGCAAGATGTTTATACAGAAAATGATAAAACACTACTAGAGAATTGAGGAAGATGTAAACAAATGGTGCAAATGGTGAGATATTTGTAGATCGGAAAGCTCAATATTGTAAAAAATGTTTATTCTCCCCCAAATTGATCTATAAATTCCATGCACTATCAGTCAAAATCGCTATTATGTTCAATTTTTTTGTTTAAGAAAATAACAGGCTCTGAAATTTATATGGAAATGCAAAAGGTCAAGAATAGCTAAGATATTCTTAAAAAACAACAAGGTGGGAGAATTTGCTTTTGCCATTATCAAGACTTATTTAAAAGCTGAGTATGGTATTTACAAGAGAGAAAAGTAGAACAATGAAATGGGAATCTAAAGCCCATGAACATTTGATTTGTGACAAAGATGACACTGCAGTTTCGTAGGGAAGGGACAGTCTTCTCAGTCGACCGTGGCAGAGCAAGCCCGTTATAGCCATGCAGAGATGGGGGAAGAAGTGTGATGCCAGTGTCACATTACACAAAGAAACAATGCCAGGTGGATGTAAACCAAGATATGAAAACAAGCTTTAAATAAGCCTTTAGTAGATAGGAATACAGGATAATAGTGGTGTGACCTTGATTTGAGAGAATATTTCTTCATCTGGGCACACATACACAAAAAAACACTAATCACAGTAGACAAATTAAGTTCTTGAAGCTTCTTTTCATCAAAAGGCACCATTAAGAGAGTGAAAAGTCAAGCTACAGAATAGGAGAATAGCTACTAAGAAAATCAGAAAAAATCAAAACACCTCAGTAGAAAACCAGGCTAAGAGCCTCACACAGGTACTTCATAAAAGAAGAAATCCAAATGACCCATAAATACAGGACAAAGTGCTCAACCTTCTTAGTCATCAGGGAAATGAAAATGAAAATCACAATGAGATCCCACTATAAACCCACAAGAATGGTTAAAACGACAGACAGCGCCAGTGTTGGTGAAGATGGGAGAGCGGAACTTTCATACTGCTCGTGGGAATGAAAAAGTGGTAGAAGCGCTTTGGAAAATAGGGTGGTGTTGCCTGACAGCCGATTCCTATAACACGCCCCCCTGCATTAGCCTCTAACCCTATTAGTTATGAGGGAAATGTCTCGGTATGACCGGAGGCTCTCTCTGGGGGGTGTCTCAGATGTGACTGGGACCTGTTGGAATGATAACAGTCATCTCCCCTGGGAGGACACAGTAACAAGGTGTCCTGGGGCTATGTGGCGGATGTGTGAAGGCATAGGATTTGCTGGAACACAATGGGATATGTTAATGGAAAAGGCTTTGAGGCACAAACCTCAAATGGATGCTAATTTGATTGACAGCAGTTTTACTTCTTTGAAAATTCTCATTAAAAGCCATGCGCTGACCCGATTCCGGGCTGTCTTCTCTGGCTGAGTCCCTTGGTCTCGCTCAAATCTTACTTTTGTCTCTATTTCTTAGTCAATCTGTGTCGCCCCTCTCGAGACTCATTTGCCCTTGCCACGCTGGACGTGACAGGGTGGCATTGTCAGCTTAGACTGGGGGTAAACATAGCCCATGGCCCAGTAATTCCATTCCTGCACATATTCATAGTGGCATGCACATGGGGACCAGGAGACATGTTACAGTGCAAGAATAGCCCCGAACTGACAACAACCTAAATGTCCCATAAATGAGTAGTTAAGTTGGGGAGCTGGGACTGAGATTGGGAAGAGGCCTACAGAGGGCTGAGATCTCAGCTGCTGGTGACGTTTCATCACCTGGTGTTCATGTGATACAATCTACTAACCTACATCTGTGTTTTTATGCATCTTCATAGAATGTGTGGTCTATTTCACAGCAAAAAGAAATGTTTAAGGAATATGTAGATTTGAAAAAGCACCAAAGTGAAACTTCTAGACATGAAAAAAAGTAGACATTGAAATGAAAATCCAGTAGATCTTCTTCTTCCTTTTCCTCTTCTTTCCTCTTCTTTTTGGATTGAATCCAAAAGCCTTGGGCTGAGGCTGAGTGTCTGTGCAGGGGGTCAGGTGGCGCTGGGTGAGGAGGGAGCTGTTGGGAGGCCTCCATGAGGAGAAGGTCACAAAGCGCTGGATAGGACCCGGAACCTAGTATGTGTGCAACACGTGGCAGTTACTGTTGTCATTATTACAGTGCTTATAAGGAACTGTTGAGAGGTGCGTTCCAGCCACGTCTGTATCCTGCGTCACATCCTCTGATTCCAGCTGCATTTGAGGCTTCACTCACTCTGTTGACAGCTTCATCACTCATTTTCTGCCCTGGGGGTTTCCAGGGCCCTAGGTGGGACTCCCATGGAAGCCAGCTTGGAATGCTCACATGCACAGCCCAGAAGTTGGGGTGCATCACCTCCTGGGGTGACCCCCCAGCCAATAGATAAATGCTTCTCACTATCGTCCTCAAGTGGGCGATTCTGAGAGACATGTTTTTACTCTTCAGCAGGTTCCCGTGGGATCATCAAGTGCCCGGTGCCCACAGCAGTGCCCCACTCACTCAGCAATACACCCTTGTACTGGCTTTTCCTTCAGTCCCTCACACCTGTTCCCTTGGGTCTCCTCCCAAATAAATTATTTGCACCGAAGGCCTTATCTCAGGCTCTGCTTTCAGGGCTAGCCCGGGATAAGACAGGGTATCGGAAGGTCCTGGAAGGCAGCCCTGGGTGGATGACATGGACTGTCGCTGGTGGTAACGGGGGTGGTGATAACCTTTACACGCCATAGCTTCACAATTGCTAAGACTTGCCCCTGCCAAGGTAGATTAGTGAGCACTAGGTTATGCAATAGTTCTAGCACTTGAAAGACATGGGGCAATGCTAATTATATGGATTGTGGAGTAGGTTGGCTCGTACTAACTGCTTTAGAAGCTTTGCCAGGAGAAAATGAGAGGCTGTTGATTCAGGGCATGCTGTGAAACCCAGAGGCATCCTGGACTTCAGGACCTTAGACTGTCTTAACAGGATCCAATCCAGTTACCAGTATGGTCATTCATTTGCTAGCCCCTCCGCACCCCTTGTGTTGGCTTTGTTTTCTTCTGTTTCCCTCTCCCTGGGATTACCTCCCATATAAACAACCTGCACCCAAGGCCTTGCCTCAAGCTCTGCTTCAGGAAGGAGCTCAGGTGAAGACCCAAAGAAGCCCGTTGCCAAGTTGCCAAGTTCATGACCTCAAAGACTTTAAAGGGTTTCTAAGGGGAGCAGCCAATCAGGATGACTCAGAGTAAGCATGACCATACTACGCATAGCTAGCCTTTTTTGAGTTATTGTATGCCCGGCCTTGTTCGAAGCCCTTTACATTTGTTACCTGAGCTCCATGACATAGATATTATTTTTCTCTCATTTTGTCCCTTATAGTGGGCTGAATGGTGACTCCCCAAGAAGAGAGGTCCATGACCTAATGCTTGGAACCTGCAAATGTCACCTTATTTGGATAAAGGGTCTTTGCAGGTGTAATTAAGTTAAGGACCCCGTGATGAGGTCATCCTGGATCATCAGGGTGGTTCCTAAGTCCTGTGACCAGTGCTCTTCTAAGAGAATGGCAGAGAAGAGAAGGCCATGTGAAGACAGGCAGAGATTGGAGTAATGCTGCCATGAGCCAGGAAATACCAGGAGGCACCAAAGCTGGAAGAAGCAAGCCCGGGTCCTCCCCTAGAGACTCTGAAGGGAGTGCGGATTTCGGGCCTCCAGATCTGTGAGAAAATAAGTTTCTGTTGTGTAAAGCCACCAGTTTGAGGTAATTTGTTACAACAGCCTTAGGGAAACTATTAATCCATTCTCCCTTTTCCCCCAACTCAATTCTGGGCTGTTCTTTCCACACAACACTTAGGCCCACCTTTGACATCAGCTAAATCTTGAGGACTGAGAAAGTCCATGAACATCAATATAAGCATTTTTGCAGCCTTCCAAAATCGGAGAGCAAATTTACGTGGCAGTGAATGATAAATGTGTGCTTATTGGGTAATCTTGCCTTCCTCTCGTGGTGACTGCAGGCATTGTGTTCTTCGGAAACATTTTCAAGGTCACCAATTTTTGTTTTAGAATTTAGACATGGTTTTTGCTTCTGAAACTTCAGTGGGCCTGGGGGCGGGGAAACACAAGAGATGATCATCATCATGCTCTCAGGATGCACTTATGAAGAGCAAAGTGGTCTCACAATTATTCTGTTTTAAATGATGTGGAAATGAGGAGGATGGCCCATGCCTAAAAATAGCAAAAGCATTTAAAAACTGTCACCAGTCAGGATCCCACCTGACAAAACTGTTGCCTGATGACAGGATTGGAGATACCTGAATGGTCCAAAGGAACAGTGTCTAATCATGAAAAGCAGTGACTCACTTTTGGTAACCAGGAGAGACATTTTACAGTGTCAATCAAGTTTGCTTTTCCTTCATGTCAATCAGCTTTCTAAAAATCATCTTACCCTGAGATGTAGTTTGTATCTTAAATTTCAGTTTGTATTCTGAGGTCAGAATAGACATGTGCAGTTTTCCCGTCATTACAGTCTTCTGAAATATAAAAGAGAAAATAATTCAGTAAATTTATGGTATATAGCCATAGCATCTCTAAAAAAATTATTCTTTTTAGTAGCAAGGTGGACTGACAGAACCAAGTGTCAACTGTTTTTTCCTAGACTATGTCAAGTAACTGGTTCTTGAAAATGGTTTAGACATGCCCCTGCGTCGTCCTGCCTGGATGTTTTATATGATGCTCTTCCTGTCACATCCTTCTTCTCTCCCCACCCACCCATCTCCTGATGAGATTTGTTAGGAGCTGTAGTATTGGTTGCTCTTGGTCTCCTGGAGTGTGTGTATTGCCTGCATCCACACCATTCGTGGGCTCCTACAGCCCTGGAGTACGGGGACCACTGTCTCGTTCAATAGCCTCTCTTATCCTAAACTGTGGCTCACCGTGATCTTTTGGTTTCACCTCCTGGAATATGGGGGTGGCGTAATGTATCTCCTCAGAGTGTCCAGTTTCTGGGCAAAAGACAAAGAACACAGTCATTGGGGCTATAAGCCGAATCTCTGGTCCATTGAGGGCAGTGGCTTAGCCAGCTGCCCTCGCAATGGCGTGTAGCCTCGGGGCTTTGCAGAGAGAGAGCGCTTACCATCTCGGGCTGTGGAAACACACGGCCTTAGTCCCAAGCCTGGCCCAGACTCCTTATCTGTAAAACGGGAGCATCATTTGGGAGTTAGAGGTGTTTGAGTTGGACAGGGCAGGCAAATTGCTTAGCACCATGCCTGGAATGTGGCTGGCCCTCCATCAATGTTGGCTGGGATGATGCTTACAGTTGGCCAAGGTCATGGGTCTATTTACCATAAAGCAGCATATGATGCCTGCTTTAAGAGGTGATCATAAAGGGCTTTGGGACACAGTACGAATCATTCCCAACTGATATATATATATAAAAAATCCCCACAACATGTTGTTAAGTGAAAAAGTCAAGGTATAGAATGGCCTATCTGTGGCATGCTGCCATTACTATGCATAGACTGTCTGTGGAAGGATTTAAAAAGCTGGTTGTTGACCCTGGAAAGTGAAACTGGGCATCAGGGGAGGGAGGGAGACATTTAGTCTATTCTTTCTTCCATTTTTTACCCACGTATCTGTACCTTAAAAAAATAAGATGAGGGCCGGCTGAGTGGCTCAGTAGATTAAGAGCGCGAGCTCTGAGCAACAGGGTCGCCAATTTGATTCTCACATGGGCCAGTGAGCTGCACCCCAGCTGAGCTGCCAACAGGTGGCAGGATGGCTCAGCTGGTGAGAGCACGTGCTCCTAACAACAAGGTTTCCAGTTCGACTCCAGCAACTAAGATTGAACATGACACCTTGAGCTGAGCTGCCCATGGGTGGCCGGACAGCTCAGTGGTTAGAGCATGCGCTCTTAGCAACAAGGTTTCCGGTTTGACTCCCGTCATGGAATGGTGGGCTGTGCCCACCCGCAACTAAGATTGAACATGGCACCTTGAGCTGAGCGGCCACAAGCTGCTGATGGGCAGCTGGATGGCAACTGGACTTGGAGCTGAGCTAGCTGCGCCCTCGACAACTAAGATTGAAAGACAACAACCTGGCTGTTCCCCTTCCCCAATCCCCCAATTAAAAAAAAAAAAAAGATGAAAACCTAAACCAATCAAAATACCCAACAAAGTTCTCTTACCTGCTTGATTTTTGTAGATATTTGCATATATTCCAGCTTCCATGGGTGTATTTCCACAGTCTCTGGGCACTTTATCTTTCATAGCTTTTCCTACATAAATTAATGCAGAATTAATTAAACTAAACCAATTCAGCCACATTTTTCTCATCTCCTCTGCCAAAGAGCATCCCCCAAAGTTCTGAAACAAAGAATGGCCTGCTCCAATGGCCTAAATGTTGTCTATTGAAGGAAAACTATGGACTCAGCAAGAAGTCCATAGGATCTGCTTCAAGCCAGGAGCCCTCCTGATTTATTTTCCCAGTTCTGCAAGTGACATTCTTTGCCTGTCAGATTATGCTTGAGATGGCCAGAGACACATTTTTTTCCTTTGCTGAAAAGAATAATCTGTAAAAAGCTTTGTAACATCTGTAAGAGACAGTAAATTCCCCAGCCGAGTTCTATTTAGCCATGGCCAATAGTCAAGAATATTAATTCTGCTTCTGCAAAACCCTGGGCTTCTTGTAGGAAGGAGAGACAGGTTTTAAAAATAGATGCGGTGTGTGGTGTGTGCAAAAAAGAAAAAAATGTATGGGACATATAAATTTTGACATCTGTTTTTAAGTTTCATGTCAACTGAGTTTCTGTCTTCTCTGAATTCTAACTCTCTAGAGGTGGAGGGTGGCACAAGAGCTTAACATTTATCACTCAGTTGTCCCATTCCCCCCC